CCTACCTGATAGTAAAATATACCCAAAAAAATTTTTGACTTTTTTGAAATTTTGGGGGAGATAGAGGGGACTCAATTCTATCAATTTTCCCTGACACCGCTTACTATTAAAATTTTTTTTGTCTATAAATGGAATAAAAAAATTTTGGCTGGTATATTTTTTGAAGGTTTTTTCATGCTCTTTCCAATGGTGAATTTCGTTTTTTAAAATTTTTGAATTTTGACCTTGATTTCTTATAATTAAATATAAATTTGCTATTTTTACTAACATCTATGCGTTTTTTTTTTAAATAAATAATTACAAACGAAAGCTGAGGTATTTTCCGATCTGTATATAAATTTTCAGAATGCCGATTTTTTTTGTTTTCGAGATATCAGCACGTCACGGTGGGCAGGAAGCGACGATAGGTTGAACAAAAGTGTCAAGAAAAACTGAAAGTGGGGTTGTATTTATGGATGATTGTAGGTGAAAAATCCGTTTAGAATGAAATCCTAGCTGCTCCTATTTCAAAGTTATCCACATTTTAATTTTTTTAATCGGATCAATTTTTGAAAAATAGAAAAGGCGCGAACATTTCTTTGTGTTTGTGTGTGTACGTGTAGACATATGTTCACATACGATTTCCACACTTGTAGCCAAATATAGCATCCTTTGTAATTTCCCAATTATAAAATAATAAATATTAAGTGTTGAAAGTCACTAGTAGACGTGGCAAATAACACAGCCCCACAAAAAAAAAAGTTTCGTGCGCGGCAGACCAGACTAGTCATTTCCCATGTATTTTGACGCGCTGAACACGAATCCGAAGTCCGTTTTGCTCCATCACGTCAGGATTTTTTTCTAACCTCCAAAAACCTGTCGGATTTTGAGAGGTAGGCTATTTTTTTAAAAAATTGATGGATTTACTTCAAAATTGGTATCTAGGGGTTTTTTGGGTCGCTGATGACGAATTTGAAGTTAGATTTTCAAAATTCAAAATGGCGGCTCCAGTATGGCGGACGAATTTTGTAAAAATTGATGGATTTACTTCAAACTTGGTATCTAGGGGTTTTTTGGGTCGCTGATTACGAATCTAAAGTTAGATTTTCAAAATTTAAAATGGCGGCTCCAATATGGCGGACGATATCGACCCTTCAAAGGTGATAATTCCGCCCTTACACACGAAACTAGAAGCAATTAAACAGTTTGTCAAAGCCTTAGATAAAAAAGGAAACTGTTTCAAATACCTGGAACAAAAGTTTCCAGAAATCTCTGATACGAAACTAAAAGAAGGGGTTTTCGACGGACCTTGTATTCGCAAATTGTTAAAAGATGAGCAATTTATCACCAAGATGAATAAAAAGGAGAAAGCCGCATGGCTTAGTTTCAAAGCAGTTGTCGAAAATTTTCTGAGTAATCACAAGAGTGAAAATTGGGAGCAAATAGTTAGTGATATGATTAAAAACTTTGGTAAGTTAGGATGCTTAATGAGCATAAAGTTGCATTACTTAGACTCGCATCGGGATCAATTCCCTGAAAATTTGAGAGATTACAGTGAAGAACAAGGAGAACGATTCCATCAAGATCTGAAAGATTTTGAGCGTCGTTATCAAGGAAGATGGGATGTAAATATGATGGCCAACTACTGTTGGATGCTGAAAAGGGATATATATTGTACATGGAGGCATCAATTTGAAAAGAAAACCATTACACAGATCCTTTGAGGACAAAAGAGTGCGCTACCATAAAAAGACGTAAATACCTTACTTATGTATATAAGAATTTCCATTTCTAGTTTTGAAAATCTAACTTCAGATTCGTAATCAGCGACCCAAAAAACCCCTAGATACCAAGTTTGAAGTAAATCCATCAATTTTTACAAAATTCGTCCGCCATATTGGAGCCGCCATTTTAAATTTTGAAAATCTAACTTCAGATTCGTAATCAGCGACCCCAAAAAACCCATAGATACCAAGTTTGAAGTAAATCCATCAATTTTTACAAAATTTGTCCGCCATACTGGAGCCGCCATTTTGAATTTTGAAAATCTAACTTCAAATTCGTCATCAGCGACCCAAAAAACCCCTAGATACCAATTTTGAAGTAAATCCATCAATTTTTTAAAAAAATAGCCTACCTCTCAAAATCCGACAGGTTTTTGGAGGTTAGAAAAAAATCCTGACGTGATGGAGCAAAACGGACTTCGGATTCGTGTTCAGCGCGTCAAAATACATGGGAAATGACTAGTCTGGTCTGCCGCGCACGAAACTTTTTTTTTTGTGGGGCTGTGTTATTTGCCACGTCTACTAGTGACTTTCAACACTTAATATTTATTATTTTATAATTGGGAAATTACAAAGGATGCTATATTTGGCTACAAGTGTGGAAATCGTATGTGAACATATGTCTACACGTACACACACAAACACAAAGAAATGTTCGCGCCTTTTCTATTTTTCAAAAATTGATCCGATTAAAAAAATTAAAATGTGGATAACTTTGAAATAGGAGCAGCTAGGATTTCATTCTAAACGGATTTTTCACCTACTATCATCCATAAATACAACCCCACTTTCAGTTTTTCTTGACACTTTTGTTCAACCTATCGTCGCTTCCTGCCCACCGTGACGTACCGCGCCGTGGTATCTTTAACATTGGCGCACGTGGACATAAAATCTTTGATATGAGGCAAAATTCCTGAAATGTCCGAACAAAAAATTAAAAGTTCTCGAATTTAATCCATACTTTTCTAAAATGTTGTTATTGTTGGTGAAAGTCTAAAAATCAATTATTATTGAATTTAATAAAATAGTTTTTGAATTACAACGTTTTTAATTTTTGACTTTTGAAAAAAAAAATTTTTTTCAATGTACAATATTTATAAGTAGAATGCATAAAAGTTAACATATATATAATGATTTTTAAAGCTTTTTTGACGAGCTACACGCTGTTAATAAAATTTTTTTTTTAAATAACATTTGACCTTGAAATTCAAGGTCAAAATGTTAATTTACGTTTATCTCAAAATCGGATTTTTTAAAATTATTTTTAACTATCTCAATGGAAAGCTTGACTAATTTCCTACAAAACATGTAATTTTCAGAGTGGGATCTTTTAAAGTTTTTGAGTTATTAATTAATTAATTAATTAATGTTTATAACAAATGAAATATTTTACAAACGAATAAAGTTACCGTAATTCTGAAGTTAGTAATTGAAAGTTAACGTAATTCCGCATCCAACGAGCCCTATATGAAGTATTTTGGATAAGTAGATTGTTAATAAACAATTAGTTAACATTGCAATTGTTTATTAACAATCTACTTATCCAAAATACTTCATATAGGGCTCGTTGGATGCGGAATTAGCTTAACTTTCAATTGGTAAGTTCAGAATTACCATAACTTTATTTGTTTGAAAAATATTTTATTTTTTACTTACAACAAGCATCCAAAAGCCCTATATGAAGTATTTTTGTTCAATTTTAGTTAAATAACAATAAAAAATGAAATATCCTACAAACAAATAAAGTTATCGTAAATCTAAACTAACCAATTGAAAGTTAAGCTAATTCCGCATCCAACGAGCCCTATATGAAGTATTTTGGATAAGTAGATTGTTAATAAACAATTGCAATGTTAACTAATTGTTTATTAACAATCTACTTATCCAAAATACTTCATATAGGGCTCGTTGGATGCGGAATTACGTTAACTTTCAATTACTAACTTCAGAATTACGGTAACTTTATTCGTTTGTAAAATATTTCATTTGTTATAAACATTAATTAATTAATTAATTAATAACTCAAAAACTTTAAAAGATCCCACTCTGAAAATTACATGTTTTGTAGGAAATTAGTCAAGCTTTCCATTGAGATAGTTAAAAATAATTTTAAAAAATCCGATTTTGAGATAAACGTAAATTAACATTTTGACCTTGAATTTCAAGGTCAAATGTTATTTAAAAAAAAAAATTTTATTAACAGCGTGTAGCTCGTCAAAAAAGCTTTAAAAATCATTATATATATGTTAACTTTAATGCATTCTACTTATAAATATTGTACATTGAAAAAAATTTTTTTTTTCAAAAGTCAAAAATTAAAAACGTTGTAATTCAAAAACTATTTTATTAAATTCAATAATAATTAATTTTTAGACTTTCACCAACAATAACAACATTTTAGAAAAGTATGGATTAAATTCGAGAACTTTTAATTTTTTGTTCGGACATTTCAGAAATTTTGCCTCATATTTAATATCTCGAAAACAAAAAAAATCGGCAATCTGAAAATTTATATACAGATCGGAAAAAACCTCAGCTTTCGTTTGCAATTATTTATTTAAAAAAAACGCATCGATTTTAGTGAAAATAGAAAAATTATGTTTACTTGTAGAAAATCAAGGTCAAAATTCAAAAATTTTAAAAAACGAAATTCACCATTGGAAACAGCATGAAAAAACCTTCAAAAAACAAACCTGACAAAATTTTTTTTATTCCATTTATAGACAGAAAAACTTTAAATAGTAAGCGGTGTCAGGGAAAATTGATAGAATTGAGTCCCCTCTATCTCCCCCAAAATTTCAAAAAAGTCAAAAAATTTTTTGGGGATATTTTACTATCAGGTAGGACAACAATTTCCCCAAGTTTCACTATTTTTGAGAAATCAATTTCTTAACTCAGGACATTACACGTAAAATGCTCCATATATGAGCACATACACCTTGTTAATACTGAAGAAATAGGTAATTATTACGCGATTTGAAAATACAAAATATCGATATTTTTGAACCCTGAAAACAGTGGCGTCTCCACTTTGTTTCGTCATTTTAATGCAACCTATAGTTGCTTTAAGGCCACTGTGAAATCATATATGTTATGTTATTTCATAAAATAAATTATTTTTTTATTTTCCCTCTGTGAGGAAGCAGCAATATTCATGATACAAAAATAATTTTTTTAAGAATTTACAATTATAGTATAAATTTTATAATGTTTTAAATCATATATTTATATTTTCAGTTGCTCTTATAGTCATGGAATGTGGAATAAGTTTAGCTTGGACTTCACCAACATTGCTACACTTGAAGAAAAAAGATTCGGGAGTGTACATAACAGAAATTACAGGAGCCCTACTAGTGTCTATATATTTTCTTGGATGTTTAACTGGTTGCTCCTTCAATCCTATTATAATGGAAAAGTTCGGACGGAAAAAAAGTTTCCTTCTTTACTCTATACCTGTAATAATTGGGTGGATTATGATTACCGCAGCAAATAATTATTTTGTTCTCTGCATTGGAAGACTTATAGTTGGAATAGGTGATGGGGGTTTATTAGAATTTATTTCAATTTATCTCGGGGAAATAACAGATAAAGATATTCGCGGTAAGCTTTCAATAATGACAAAGTCATCAATGTTAGTTGGAGTTTTCTTCGTAAATGCTATGGGAACATTCTTTACATATAGGACCTCAAATCTAATTTCGGTTGGTATATCTGTATTATTCTTTATAACATTTTTCTTCATGCCGGAATCTCCTTATATACATTTGATGAGGGGTCAGGAAAAAGATGCAGTAATGTGTTTAATGAAATTAAAAGGATTCAAACAACCTGAATCGGTCCAATTAGATCTTACTATAATGAAAAAAGCTGTTGTAGAGAAAGAAAAATGCCAAAGCAATTCTTTGCGTGAACTCATTTGTAATAAAAGTAATCGCAAAAGACTATTAATTTTGTTGGTCGCTAAAGTGACAAGAAACCTTTCAGGCTCAGTTGCTATTTTATCATATTTACATGAAATTACATTGCAATCCGGAAATTCTAACAGCGTTGTTCTTTATATATGTTTAGTTAAAATAATTTCTAGTATTGTAAGTTCGCAAATAATAGATAAGGTTGGTAGAATGTTAATTTTTCTAGCATGTGGAATCATATGTACTTTTGCTCTTACAACGTTAGGTACTTTTTTCTTTTTAAAATTATTTCTAAATTATAGTACATTAAATATAGCCTGGATTCCAATACTTTCCTTAATTGCTTATGAAATTGGATATTACATGGGAATTAGTCCCGTTGGATATGTCTTACAAGGAGAACTATTTCCATTAAAAGTGAAAGGAATGGCTGTTGCTATTGTGTCTGTGATAGAACAGTTTTTAAGTTTTGGAATTGGATTAGTTTTTCCGATTGTAAACTATTTTTTTGGAATATATGTAAGCTTTTGGTTTTTTGCACTATGTTGTATTACTGGTACATTATTTGTTTTTATTATTACTCCAGAAACTCATAGTAAAACTTTGGAAGAAGTAGAAGCGCTTATTATCCCAGCATCAAAGAAAGCTGTATTTAAACCATTAATAACAAATTAGACTTAATTATGGGGATCAGCTTGTTTGAACATTTAAAAAAACCCATTTTTAATTCTTATTGATGATTCATTCGTACCTACTCAAAACTTTAAACACATTTTACTCGAAATAACAACACTTCCGTAAAGGTATATATTGTATTACAATATAATTTGTAATATCAGTTTATAACACCATATACATCAAAAACATGTAAATTTGATTTAAAAAATTTTTTTGAGCAAATAAAAATTCACACTGAAGAAGGCCGTCATTGCGGCTGAAACGTATGCATTTAAAAAAATTATATAGAGTAGGATGGGGTGAAAAGGACACTTTTTTACTTTTCAAATGTAAAATCAAAATTTTAATTGGTTCTGAAAGTTTAGTTTTTTAGCTTCAAAATCCTGGCCGAACAATCTTCGTATCCCATGAAAAGACAAAGTTATATAAGTTTCACCAAAGCACTGCAAGTGGTTTTTTACACCACCTGGTGGGGTGAAAATGACACTTTACGATTCGGGTAAAATATATTATCAATTTTTATTTTTTCTTTATTTATATAACAAATAATGTTATTTTAATAAATTTTAAAGAAAATTAATATTAATTCCAATGTAATAAAAATATAAAAGAAAAATCTTCCTTCGCTTTCAACGACTATACAGTCGTTTATTATGTTTGTTTATGTTTATTATAAAATAATTCTTTTATTTTACAATAATACTTTTTTAATATTTAATATGTTAAATTTTATTCTATGCACATCGGATAAAGTAGAAATTAGTGCCAACGTTGTGCACTTACATTTATATTATAATTAATGTATGGAATTAAATACAAATTACAGGTTAATAATACATTTTTTAATTATATAGTCAATGTAATAAATATTTTAAATATGGGGCGAAATTCCTCAACTGTTCCCACCCCAAAATTTAATTTCAGTCGATTCCTCTAAATTTCAACTTAACATAATTTTTATAAAACTTATATATAATATTCATTGTAAGTTGTTTCTCTTTTTTCAATTGCTACTAAATACTATGTAAGGAAAACTGGTGAGGGCCTTACCACTTTTCCTAACGAATACCCTACTTTTTAAAATTATATCGTATTCAAATTTGTAAATCTAAAAATATATTTTTAATTCAATATAATTAATTAGTAGTACTATTCATTGATTATTTAATTAAATATATAATCGAACTGATCTTCGTATTTATCAAAGCCAAAACGAATGTTAAATCGTTTTAGCGATCTCTGTAATCACTCAATTAAAAATCTAAACGGGTTATATCTTCGGAAATGTGAATTGATTGAGTGCATTTGTGTAAGATTGGGTGTGACATGAGATGTTTTATTCTTTGTTTTTTAGAAAAATTGTCAAGAATTTATAATTAAAAATTCAAATTTTATAAATATTTTAAAAAAAATTTTATAATGTTGCTGTTAATGAAAAATAATAATACAATGTAATGAATATAAACATGAAACATCAATTCAAAAAACAAGATTTATTGATTCGTTATATCAAAAAAAGGTATATCAAATTTAAATTATTATTGTTAAATAATAATTAAATTCTTAAATCATAACAAGTCTTATTTGTAACAAAGTCATTTGCGACGCCATAATTACAGTCATGTATGAAATTAATTATTAACAATTTTTTCATTTTTCCATTTTTTAATATTATATAATAAAGGAACCCAAGCAGCATGGTGTATCCCCTCAACATCACTTGAATATCACCCTATTGAAAATCTCCATATAGGATCTTACATGGGATTTTACATGGATTCCTATTTGAAAATGTATATGAAATCCTAGGTTCATGTAGGAATCCATGTAAAATCATATGTGAAATTCGGACACGATTTGGAGTATGATTCGATATGGGGAATTGCAATTGAGTTTGTACATTGAAATCCATGTGGATTCCTATGTCATTTCCTCTAACTTTTCCGTCAAAATTTTTGACATTTTCGTATGTCAATTTCTCGTAAAAAAATCTTTAAAATTATCTATAAAAATCTTTCAAAAATATATTTAAAGAAATTCTTAATTAAAAATTTCCTATATCAAATCTCATATAAAAACTTATATAAAATTTTTTTTTATTTCCTATAAAATTTCTCATGTAAAATTCTATATAAAATCTTTCAAAAATATATGTAAAAAAATTCCTAATTAAATATTTCCTATATCAAATCTCATATAAAAACTTATATGAAATTTTTTTTTATTTCCTATAAAATTTCATATGTAAAATTTTATATAAAAACATTTAAAAAATTACATAATCACACATTGAAAGACATATCAAAATGTCTTATGAATCACATGATAAATATTGTTAAATAAAATTTTACAAAAATTCCTATATTAAAATCTCAGATGAAATTCATTTTGGAATTTTTGTAACAATTTACTTACCTGAATTATTTTCTTTGACAATAAGATTATTTTTTCATGTGCTCCTATCTCTGCATCACAGAAAATTGAAAAAAACATGCAAAACTGCGTCCTTTTCGGATAATTAATCATTCATTATTTCGATCAATAAGAGACGCGAATTTCAAAAAAGGAAATTCTCATGATGAAATATTTTAGTTGGTTGGGTAGCCACGTCTGTGTGTGTGTCTGTATGTATGTTGCAACTCGACACACTCAAAGATAGTGTCAAAATCAAAAATGAAATTGATTTATATGACTACACGCTAGTGTATTTCTACGTATTTTTTTGGGATGAATCCGAATTGAAAGTCAGAATTGTCGAGTTGGCTGAAAATTTTAAGAAAACTCCAGAAACACAAAAAGAAAAAATAAAAAAAATAAATAAATAAACTTTCTATTAAGCTCTTATATTGTTTCAGGCGGACAGGCTAAAAATTCACATTTTAGCTCAAAACTTTTGTGTTTATTTAAATTCAAGTAATAAAACAATTTTAAATTATCGCTTTAAAAATTTTATTATTATTAAATAAAAAAACATTTGTTTTATTAAATTATTCGAAAATTTGTGATTTTGGAAAATTTAAAGGCAGCAAAATGTAGGAAACTAGTAAAAAAATAAACATATTTTTATAAGTAATAGAAAAGATGCTCTTGTTTGACAAAGAACCCTTCTAACATTTTCACGTTTCTTAAATTAATTAAATACACATATGTAAAGTTTAAAATTAAGTAATAAACTTTTTAAATCAAATATTGCGAAGATCACTTTACAATTTCACCCTGATTGTAATAGATCATTTTCTTTGTTTTCCGGAGGTTTTTCGTCTTTTTTATTTAAATCATTGATTACCTGGGTTATTTTTTCCCTCTAACCCTTCTAACATTTTCACGTTTCTTATAATAATTAAATACATATATGGGCGATTCCACGTCAGATTTCAGTTCACATTTTAAAACCGGCCAAAATAAATTTTTTCTTGTTCTTTAGAGAAAAAATGGATACGTATTTTTTTTTGTGGTCAAATTTTCGTGTAATGAATTTTCGAAATTTTGATTTTTTGAAAGCAGACCTATTTTCAATGACCTATAAATCGGAAATTATTGATTTTAGCAAAATTTCGCCAAGACAAAAAAAGTTTGGTTTTTCTTCGACTTTTAAGGGGTTAAACCACTCTAGAGCGTCAAAAAAAGGCCTAACTTTAGAAATTTTTTTCAAGAAAAGTTTAAATGTACTGAAAAATATGTTTACATATCTTTATTAGGTAAACTTTAAAAAGAAAAAAAATATACTTCATTAATTATTTTTTTTAAAATATCAAATTTACAGATACGTGATAGGAACCCTTTCTGAGAGGAATCACGTCGCGGCCGGAAAGGTTTTAGCTCCAATTTTCATCCTAGAACAAAAAACAAATTTCTTTCTATTTTTACATCTTAAAAGCTAGAGAAAGACGTAGGGGATTTTTTTCAATTGATTTTTGCAAAAATGGCGAACATTTTAAGGAAAAACCGAGTTTTTTACTTAAAAAATTGACACTAAATTGTTTATAACAAAAAAAATATGCAACATAAAAAAAAATCCGTACGTCTTTCTCTAGATAATGTTATTGAGAAGCTACAGTTTAATTTTTAAGTAAATCGGTTGAGATTTGTAAAAGTCATGTTTCCGGCCAGCACAAAAAATGTAGTTTTGAGAAAAACGAGTTTAAAGTTTTACTTATGACTTTTTGGATATACCTTCAATCTGCAATGCCTGCGCCGTATAATTGACCTTCCAAATTAAAAAGTGTTTCGACTTATAATTGATATTGTTTCTTATTCTATACACCCTTAGGCACCTTTTAAAGCAAAAATTTTTTTTGATTTTTTGAAAATTCTAGAGTGGTTTAACCCCTTAAATAAAGTTAACAAAAAAAATTTTTGAATTTTTATTACAAAATTCATAATTTTTTATAAACTAATTTATTTTTTTTTCAATTTAGACACTTTTGATTTTTAATTTTCTTTTCTTAAAACATAGCTGGCAATAAGAAGAAACTTTACAATTTTACTCTGATTGTGAAAAATCATTTTCTTCGTTTTCCGGAGGTTTTTCGTCTTTTTTATTTAAATCGTTGATTACCTGGGTTATTTTTTCCTCTAACCCTTCTAACATTTTCACGTTTTTTACATTAATTAATAAATATGTATATATGTAAAAAGATTAAAATTAAGTAACAAACATTTTAAATCAAATATTGTGAAGATCACTTTACAATTTTACTCTGATTGTGAATTATTTTCCTCTTTTTCCGGAAGTTTTTTGTCTTTTTTATTCAAATCATTGATTACCTGTGTTATTTTTGTCCTCACGATCTTCACGTCTTCTTTAAGGGTTAAAGTCCCACAATCCTATCCTTTGATTTTTCTAACTCGGTCCTTAAAAAGTCTTTGGATAAAATATTTTTTATTATTTTATAATATTTAATAGTATTTCTATGGATTTAAAAATAAGTTAATTATTTAGGCTTAGGGTCATATGGGGAATTTTTAAACAAGGGGTAAATGTAAACAGTAGATATTGAGGCTTAATTTTTTGAAAGAACTATAAAATATAATAATAAATATATAAAAATATAATAAAAATATAATAAAAATAAAATAAAAATAAAATAAAAATAATATAATAATAAAATAATAATAAAATAGTAATAATAATAAATAAATAATTCGCATTCAGCGACCCGAAATACATAAGGAATGACTAGTCTAGTTCGTCGGACAAAAGTTTTATTTCTTTTTGTCGGGCTGTGATATTCAAATAAATAAACCCATTATAAAACAATAAAAAAATAAAAATATGTTTTCCTTACTTTCTATCGCTTTTACTTTTTTTGGAGTTAAAGGTATTCTCACTTGCCCATCCTGTCTTGGTCCAGCTTTATTTTCATCCAAGCATCTGTCTTTAAGACCATTGGGATAAAACATGTTAATTAAGGCGATAACCCACAGTGAGTCTTTTGATTTCACAGCCACACAAAAAAAAAAGTACCCGGGCCGGGGAATGAGACCACCATTTCTTGATGTATTTTAATGCGCTGAACACGAATCTGAAGTTTGTTTAGCTCCATCACGTCAGGATTTTGACATAACCTCAAAAAACATAGCTGATTTTAAATGACAGGAGAAATTTTTTAAATAATGTCAGATTTGCTTGTATCTTGTTACTCGGGGGTTTTTGGGGTCGCTGATTACGAATTTAACGTCAGATTTATAAAATTCAAAATGGCGGATTCAATATAGCGGACAAATGTTTAAAAAGTAGTTGGATTTTTACGAAAATTGGTATCTAGGGGTTTTGGGAGTCGCTGATTACAAATTTATCGTCAGATTATTCAAATTCAAAATAGCGGATCCAATATGGAGGACGAGTTTTTAAAAAATAGTTGAATTTTTATGTAACTTGGCCGATACTAAGGTTTCGAGTCCCTGCATCGTAATACGTTTCCTACGTGTGTCTGCCATGACGGCATCAAAGCCATTATCCAGGGACTTAGCCGGATAGCGGACAAACTCCGTTGCCCACCGTCACCGCGTGGAGGTGCCCTGGATGCAGACACATGTAGAAACATAAAGATATTTGACCACCGTACTATATCTGCCATTTTACATTTGAATAATCTGACGTTAAATTCGTAATCAGCGACTCCAAAAAAACCCCATGATACCAATTTTTGTAAAAATCCAACTACTTTTTAAAAATTTGTCCGCCATATTGGATCCGCCATTTTGAATTTGAATAATCTGACGATAAATTTGTAATCAGCGACTCCCAAAACCCCTAGATACCAATTTTCGTAAAAATCCAACTACTTTTTAAATATTTGTCCGCCATTTTGAATTTTATAAATCTGACATTAAATTCGTAATCAGCGACCCCAAAAACCCCCGAGTAACAAGATTCAAGCAAATCTGACATTATTTAAAAAATTTCTCCTGTCATTTAAAATCAGCTATGTTTTTTGAGGTTATGTCAAAATCCTGACGTGATGGAGCTAAACGGACTTCAGATTCGTGTTCAGCGCATCAAAATATATCAAGAAATGGTGGTCTCATTCCCCGGCCCGGGTACTTTTTTTTTGTGTGGCTGTGTTTTCTGTTGATTGTTTTCCAATCTTCAATGGG